GGGCGCCGCGGCTGGAAGGCGTCCCGTGCAAGAGGCGCCCACGTGCAAACGCCCAGGCACGTGGGCCCGGGCGCCGGGGCGAAGGCTCCAGGCTAGGGTCCCGGGTCTTTCAAATCTGCAAAACTCTCCCGCACGAGGTCCCCCCCCCCCCCACTGCATCCGGGGAGATGGAGCGGGTGTCACTCTGCAGACTTGGGGGTCCTTGCTGCACGACAGCGCTGCTCCAGAATAATCGGGGCAACTTCCTTTAAGATCAGGCTTAAAGGGGTTCAGCTCCTAGGAATGTGCAGAGTAACAAAACGCGTGAACTTGCATAGGCCGCGTTCATTCATTCATTCATTCATTCATTCCTCACATTTATATAGCCGCCCATCTCACGAATGTGATTCTGGGCGGCGTACAGCAAAAACGGACCATAAAAGAAACGAACGTTAAAAACTATTCCATAATAAAAACATTGCAATTATTTTAAAAGACTTGTTCGTGTGCACTAATTAAATCTTTACTGTTGTCTTTATGTCTCAGCATATATTACTCTACAGCATGAACAGTGTTCATGAATCTCGCTTTACAGACTTTGTCAGAGGTCTTTCAAATCCAGAGGTGCACTATTACATTTTACTTTATACTTCCCCTTTTTTTAAAAAAAAAAACTAAGTTACTAATTGTTTCCTCATGAGTTGGAGAAAGTTAATTTTTTAATTCTTTTCCCCCCTTTTTTTTAGAATCCACGTTCACAGATTATAAGAATGTATGTTATTTAAGTTAACCCAATATTCTAGGTTTGCATGACACTCTGAACCCTACACTTAAAATGCTCATACACATTTCTTCAGGCAGATCAACATCCAGTTGTTGGGTCTAACTCCTGCCAGCAAAAGGGAAAGTGCATTAAAGCAATTTGTTATCCTTTGTTTTTGATATGCTAAGGCTCAGGTCTAGCATATCAAAAGCAAGCCAACAAATCTTTAAAAGGGGCTTCCAGAAGCAACTCTTGTTGAAGTACTAACAGTTCTTATCATTAGTCCTTCATCTCCTACTGTGACCTAGTTTATCAGCCTGTGTACAGTATTCAAAGACCCACTTCAAAGGCTGTCACGCTTGTATGGCTGATTAACTTTCTCAGCTTCCAGTCTCAGTTCAGCACTGAAATTCTGACACATTATGCTCTCTGCAAAATGCATACGCCACGTGTTTCCCCCCAAAAACTGTGTTCTAACATGATTCTCAACCACAAACCAGCCAAGCCCTATATTGTACAAGCCCAGCCTGTGTGGATCCTGTCAGCCCAGAGAATAATTCTGGTAATAGGCAGTCTGTGCACAGGCTGTATTATATGCAATATCTTCCTTCTGGTGATCTTGCTTTATTTATGTTCATTGAGTTTAGCTGGTTGTACAGAACGTTTAAATGGCCGGTTTTATCGTGTGCTGCCCAGAGTCCCTTCGTGTGAGATGGGCGGCCACAGAAATAAGTAAATAGAAACAGAAATCGGGAAATAAAGAAATGAAGTGGTGGGCTCCGAACGACAGCAACTTTCGATCCACTAGGAACTGTTTTATGTTAGCCGCCAGCACTCTTCCTATACGAAAAAACGGGCCCTTAAGAAGGCGCTCCCTACAAGCATCGCCCACTCGGTCGCTCCAGCTGGGTCCCACAACGAAAGGTGCAAAGGGGAAAGGGGGGGGGTTCATCCACGCCGCGGGTCTCCAAGCGAGGTGAAGGGGCTCAGGCCTAAATCTCCGGGGGGGGGGGTTTAAAATACGGTGGCCTCGC